GGTGGTTGCATGTGGATGGTGGAGGAGTTAGTTGGTAGGTGCCCGGATGCAGCTCAGGGGGCGCGGATTAAGGCAAGATAGATGAGAGGAAATAAGGAGACTAGTGAGGAATATGGAATGACCAGTGACGATAGTGGTTGCCTGGGCAGGCATGGTTTGGGAACATGATAGAGGAGGGGAACAAGCTCATTTATGAAGCTGATGCGTAGGTAAGCTGAGAGCTCTTAGTTTTACTAAGCATTAGCTAGCCGTTCGATCCTTCAGATTCATAAATGGGAAAGTCCTTTGCCGATAAGGGGACCTTAGAGGTGAAATTCCATGCGCGCAGACATGAAAAATACTCGATTTTATCGCAAACTCAAAAGCGATTGCGTTTTACAGATTTCGTAGTCCTTTTTCGAATTCCTTCAGATTTGTATTTTTTTCAAAGAGCGAGCACTTGCCGGAAAAACGATTAGGCTTCATGTAAAAAAATGACAGTCATGCCGCTGGAGGTCTATGCGGCCCCTATAATGCAACACCTCCATCCTCTCCGGCGCTCTTTCCTCCTGCATGCGGGGAGGCGCCAGAATACAGCCAGTGTGGGTCTACATGTTAAAGTACAACGCAGGAACTATGCCTGCTGTTAGCGATCTGCAAGCTTAGCGCAAAAACGCATGATCGCACCCGCAAGCCTAGTGCGTTGCAGCCTGGGTTTTATTTTTGACCTCAGTATTATTGTCCAATCAAACCTACAGCTGTTTGAACATTCTAGGCGTAGACGGTTAAGATGTAGCACAGCTGCTTTGAGGCAGAATGTAATTAAAACATGACAGTGAGAAGTGTGTTGCCAGTGCTTTATCTTCCTCGAAATGAGGCACTGAGGAAAATTGTTAACACGCACGAAAAATCAGCGGAAATCGGAAAGCCTGCGCTGCTTTGGTAGCAGTGTTAGGCATCTACAAAGTGGTATGTGCATGTGGATGACATAAATGCTCCATCTGCTGTATGGAACAAGCGAGCTGGTTTTATAATGGATAACAAGAACTGAAGAAAATGAGATGCTTGATTCCCTACCGATCCATATCCTTTACAATCACTGGTTAAGCGCACCAGGTGGGCCCGTGCGATCGCGTTTCTGCAGTATTTCGTGCTGTAGTAACATCGCTTGGAAACCCAGTAGCTAGAATTTGTGACGTACCGGCCCTCGAAGTTCAGGAAGTTAATTGTGCAACTATGTGGTACTTGGGCAGGGGACATTCCGTTAAAATTCAGCTTTCCAATTTTTTAGTTCCTGAGTTAGCAGTTTTCCCACCAAAAAATTTCACAGGTCCATACATGAGAACCACGCGCTTATGGGGGCTAAATTTGATACCTTTAAGTTAAACGTGGGCTAGGAACATTCCCTTAAAATTTCAGCCTCCCAGGTCCCTTGGTCCCCGAATTAGCAATTTTTCCGCCAAAAATTTTCATGCGCTCCTGAGGGCTGAATTTGGTATCTTTAAGTTGTACACGGGCTGGGACATATCCCTTTAAAATTTCAATTCCCCAGCTCACCTAGTTCCTGGGTCAGCGATTTTTCCGCCACAAATCTTCACGGGTCCATACGTCAGGACCACGCAAACCTGGGGGCTGAATTTGAAATTTTTAAGTTATACGTGTCCGGGAACACCACCTTAAAATTTCAGCCTCCCAGCTTTTCTGGTTCCCATTTTAGCGATCCACTCGCCAAAACTTTCACGTCCTCGTGCACCAGACTCAGACGTGCGTGAAGGTTGATACCACGGTCCTGAGGTGGCAGTTGGTTGAGGAACCCATTGGCAAAATTTTAACGCCGGGGCCTGCTTAGTTGCCGAGTTGAAATACTCGGACAGACAGACAGACAGACACACACACACATCGTGTTCGACACAGTATGCGTTTTTGCTTATATGCAAATGCAAAAACACATATTTTGACGACCCCGGTGTGTGTTTGTGTATGTGTGTGTATGCATGTATGTACGTATGTGTGTGTGTGTGTGTGTGTGTATGCGCCTATTCGGTTATTTCAACTCGGCATCCAAGCAAGCTCCGGCGCCAAAATCTTGCCAGTAGTTCCCCGATCAGGTGCTGCTCTAGGACCGCGCTACCGACCCTCACGCACGTCTAGGCCTCGTGTACGAGAGGTGAAAGTTTTGGCGGGAAAATTGCTAACTTGGGAACCAGAAAAGCTGGAAAACTGAAATTTTGAGGTTATGTTCTCCATCCAGACAGAACTCAAAGATTTCAAATCCAGCCCCGAGGTGTGCGCGATTCCCGCGTACGGCCCCGTGAGGGTCCCCGGCGGGAAAATCGCCAACTTTGGATCCAGGACAGCTGGGAAGCTGAAATTTTAAGCGGATATTCCCAACCTATGTACAACTTAAATTTACCAACTTCAGCTCCCGGGCATGCGTGGTTCTCACGTTTGGCCCCGTGGAAATTTTTGGCGGGAAAATGGTTAGCTCCGGAACCAGGAAAGCTGAAGAGCTCAAATTTTTAGGGAATGTTCCCTGTCGAAGTACAGCGTAGACAATTAACTTCCCGAAATTCGAAGACCAGAATGTCACACATTTCTAGCTACTGGGTTTGCGAGCGATCTCATTACAGCACGAAGCACTGGAAAAACGCATGATCGTAATGGCCCGCTCGGTGCCCGTCTCCAATGATTTTATTTATGAACATACCCTGGCTTTTGCACCACTGGTGTCTGTGCCTGTGGGATGGGAAGGGGG